GGTGTCGTGTGATCGTGTGTTCATGTTTAACTCATCGTCCGTCTGCTTCCGAGATTTCTTCGGACAACAACATTGCTCTGCTGAGATGACATACAAACATTTCTTAGTCTTACTGTTCAGCACTTTATGTATTGTTGTTTGTATAAAATTTTTGCTTACAATTACTGTATTTTAATTATTAGTTTTCCTGTTTATGTTTAATATCTTCTTCGTGCTTGTTTGTTATTTTACATTTTAACATATGATTAGTCGACCGGACAAAGCTAATAGTGTAAGTCGTTTTAATGCACTTGTGCATATGTATGTTTTTGTTGGTTTATATTGTGATGATGTAAAAATATTCTTTTCCTTTTTTTTGTCCTGAGTTAGATGCCTTCAGACTGAAGGCGAAATATCGACCAAAATAAAAATAAAAAAGTAAATAAAACAGAAAAACATTTAATTTAATAAAAATGAAATAAATACTCCAATTGAAGGCATGTTAAAAGATGGAATAATAAGACATAGCAATTCACCGTATAATTCTCCGCTTTGTATAGTTCCCAAGAAAGTAGATAATTCAAAAAAAAAAAGAAGTGGCGAGTTGTTGTAGAAAATTAAATGAAGCTACTGTTAATGATAAATTTCCAATTCCGCATATTGAGTCTTTGTTTGATAAACTTGGACGAGCTCAATATTTTTCCACTATTGAGCTTGCAAAAGGTTTTCATCAAATATTAATGGATGAAATTGATATTGAAAAAACGGCTTTTTCTAGCCCAATGGGTCATTTTGAGTATTTGAGAATGTCTTTTGATTTGAAAAATGCTCCAGCGACTTTTCAAAGGATGATGAATGCTGTGTTAAGTGATATATGGATGATATTTTGGTTTTTTCTACTTCAATAGAAGAGCATATTGAAAATTTGACTAAAATTTTTAAGTGTCTTAAAGATAATAATTTAATTTGTTTTTTTATTTTTATTTGATGTTAGCTATCACTTCTACCATTTTTTCAAATTATTGCTTTTCCACAATAAGTTTTCACTTAAAAACGGCCTCAAGCTCATACAAATTGTTGAAAGGCCATAAAAATAACAAAAACAAATAACTAAAGGACGAGCACATCTAAAAAGTTAAACATTCTAATAATAGAAATATTAACAAAAACCAACAACCACATGATCAAGTGAATTGCAGCGGAATAGCTGCGCTTGATTGTAGTTGGCTTAGCAAAGTGAAATAGTGGAAAATAAGCAACAAGAATTAACAAGACAAACTTAGCACAGTGCGTAGGCAACTGGCTGAGTCAGTGGTGATCGTCGGTTCGAATCCTACTGAAAGAAGTCTGATGAGGAAATGTCTGGATTTTCGAAATAGCTATCACTTCTATCATTTTTTCAAATTATTGTTGCTTTTCCACAATAAGTTTTCACTTAAAAACGGCCTCAAGCTCATACAAATTGTTGAATATAATTGTCATAAGGCCATAAAAATAACAAAAACAAATAAATTAAGGACGAGCACACCTAAAAAGTTAAACATTCTAATAATAGAAATATTAACAAAAACCAACAAAACCAACAACCACATGATCAAGTGAATTGCAGCGGAATAGCTGCGCTTGATTGTAGTTGGCTTAGCAAAGTGAAATAGTGGAAATGAGTAACAAGAATTAACAAGGCAAACTTAGCACAGTGCGTAGGCAACTGGCTGAGTCAGTGGTGATCGTCGGTTCGAATCCTACTGAAAGAAGTCTGATGAGGAAATAGTAAGTAAGTAAGTAAGTGGTGGTTTACGAAATAGCTATCACTTCTACCATTTTTTCAAATTATGGTTGCTTTTCCACAATAAGTTTTCACTTAAAAACGGCCTCAAGCTCATACAAATTGTTGAAGATAATAATTTAAAAATTCAATTTGATAAATGCAAATTTTTAGCAAAAGAAACTGAGTTTTTAGGACATAAAATTACTCAAGAAGGTAGAGAAGGTAGCTGCCATTAGTAAATTGGAGATACCTGCTTCAGTAAAAGATATTAAGTCATTTCTTGGATTAACTGGTTATTATAGAAAGTTTATTAAAAGCTATTCATTAATTGCAACTCCAATAACAAATTATTTAAAGAAAGGTGTAAAAATTGATATTTGTAATAAAGATTATATTGAGGCTTTTAACAAATTGAAAATAATTTTAACTTCACCACCTGTCTTATCATTTCCAGATTTTTCTAAAAAATGTGTCCCTACTACTGATGCCAGTAATTCTGCTATTGGGGCAGTGCTTAATCAATATAGTAAACCAATATGTTTTGCTAGCAGAACCTTAAATGGTCATGAGCGTAATTACAGCACAATAGAGTCATCGGTTGGTCAATTAAATACTTTAGGCCTTATTTATATGCTAGGAAATTTCTTGTTCAAACGGATCATCATCCATTAAAATTATTTTCTTTAAAAGAGCCAAATTCGCGTATAATTAGATGGAAAATATTATTGAGTGAATATGAATTTGAAATAGAATATTTAAAAGGCAAAGAGAATAAAGTGGCTGATTTTTTGAGTCGAGTATCAAAAAAAAATTTTGTAGAGGAAATTGAAAATTTTGAATTAAATTCCCTTTTTGAAAATTCTATAGAAGAAGAGAATTCAGTTACAGTCGATTTAAATAAACAGTTTATAGAATCAGATTCTATTGTAAATAAATATTTAGTACAGATACGACTTGTGAGAACAAAAACAAATGATTTTGAAAAGCTTTTTGGTAAATATAAAATAATTTACGTTTCCCAAAAAGACTTAAATAAATTTCATTATTTAAATGACTTGTTTAGGCGGTATTTGAGTAAAGGCACAGTTGGTATATATTCAGAGTTGGATGTTTCTAAGTACAATATTATCAAAGAAAGATTAATTAGCTTATTTTCCAATAATAAAATTTTGAGTTTACAAAATGTAATAAATTGGCGATTGATGTTAATAGCAAGGAAGACATTTTTGGTATCGTAGAACGAGTTCATATTGAAGGTAACTATAGAGGAATTTCTGAAAATTTTGAAGAAATAAAAGTGAAGTACTTTTATCCAAGTTTGAAAAAATATATAAATGAATACATAAATAATTGTCGGGTGTGCATTGAAAACAAATATGATCGAAAACCTTTAAAAAAAAATTTTATTATACAGTTACTCCTAACGCCCCAAATGAAATAGTACATATGGATATTTTTCAAGTTTGTAAAACATATTTCTTAACTACGATAGATAGATTTACAAAATTGGCTTCAGTCCATAAAAATTCTGATATGAATATGTGTACAATTAAAGTCAAATTAGAATAGCATATTTAGGAACTCCAAAACTTTTAATAATGGATAATCAATTTAATAATGCAATAATTAAAATGTTTTGTTGTGAAAAAAAAAAAAATGAGATGCATTTTACTACACCAAGTTCTCATACTGGTAATTCGGATGTTGAAAGGTTTCATTCAACATTGTTAGAACACTTAAGGATTTTAAAGAATTTAGATAATATGCAGGATATTGAGGAAATTGTTATTAGAGCAGTAGGATATTACAATAATAGTATACATAGCATAATTAAAATGAAACCGATAGATTGATTATAAAAAAATTGCCAACGTAATGCGACAAAAAAAAAGGAGTTATAAATAGAATTAATTTGAAAAGGGAAGATATACCGAATTGCAATGTTAAAGATCTTTATATTAGAAATCCTAAAACACAGAGGCAAAAAATTGCTAAACGTTTTCTAAAACATCACACTTCCAATCCAATGAAAATAGATTTTGCTTTAGTTAAGACCTTTAAAACAATTTATGGATTTATAATTCTTAAATAAAATGTAAAATGTTAACACGAAGGATTTTTTTTTTGTTAATTTTGAAATAATTTTTCTTATTAATTATGATATAACATGAGATAATTTGGATTTTTTGTTAATTTAAGAAACTGTACTTATTAATTATTTAAATTCAATTCAAAGGGACTTGAATTATAAAAAAAAGGGCGAGTTATATATGTATGTTTATGCGTACTTGATATTGTGGTACATGTTTCTTTTATACTTCCTTTTGTGAATATTTATTGTTTAAACAAATACGTAAACGAAATATCCTGGTCTGACACACCGTTCAGATTGTAGGAGAAACCACGAGTTGTTGGCGGGGGCGTGTGGGTAGTGGTGCGGTTGTATCTGTTGTGTGGTCTATCGTGGTTGTGGTGTGGTCTATTGTGTTGTTGTGTTGAGGCCACAAATGATGTGGTCCACTGCCGAAGAGTCCGTAGACCTGAGCAGACTCTGAGGTCGCAAGCATTGCACTTGACTGAGGTGGAGTTGCGGTGTAATCATCTCTGGCATACACAGCAGGTGTAAGTTTCTGGCCCTGGGCAGAAGAATACGTAGCAAATGTAGCCCTTTGGACGACCAACTTCCGAGATATGACACCGACCTAACCGGGGTTAGATCTCCGTAACAACATCCCTTGGTTGGACAAATTTCATTTTTACACATTCATATTTCTGGCATAAGGGGGACGGCAAGTAGTTTTAAAGAAACTCTCATCCAATTATTCACACTTTTAATATTTATGTATATACAAGAGCATACATGTACATTCTTTGAAGTATAGTATGTTTGTTTTAAATCATTTTAAAAAATTAGGTTATGTTTGTAACACCAATTTTAAAATTAGTATATATACATGATTCAATAATCAGCCTCATTGTGTAAGTCGTAAATTAGGATAAATTATACTACTCGACAACATTGGTATTGTCTACTGGCATGTTGAAATAAGTAAACGACGAAAATCGTCGAAAAATGTGCAGTGCTGCCAAGTTTTTCCGTTTTAATACACTAGTCGAGTCGAAATTTTAGGCAATGACATGAAATTTTCGATACGATTCGACTCTTGAAAAACGACTTGCATTCGACACGACTGTCGCAATGAGGTTGAATAAATTAATAATTATTGACTCATGGTATATATATACATACATATGTCTGGCATTTACAAATAAAGAGATGCCGCAAAAACAATATCCCTTTTTAGAAGCCGTACGCCCTCAGAAAACTTGTTCTCCAAATCTGTGTTTCCGATTGTTTTTGCTGCTTGGCATAGCTGTCGTAGCAATTCTTCCAGGCGACGCATACAGCGAATAATTGAACCTTCGAAAATATCCGTCATCCTACACACGCTCAAGAATGAAGCACCTTTGCACCAAGCCAATACACAGTCCATTAGAAATGGTTTAAATTTGTCTACATACGCTTCCTCGTCCACGGTTAACTTGCAATCAGTAGATATTTTGGCAATACGTCGGGCCAGATCTTGCATTGACCGTAATGGGCCCGACAACTCTTCCGTTGCCTTGGGAGTTTCTGACGACTTTTCATCGCAGACGAAACATGAAAGTAATGCTACTGACTGGGCCGATGAAATTTCATTGAATATTCCGTTGAATATCATTTCTGTTAAAAGTAACTCATCTGCAGAACTTAACTCGCAAGCAACACGTCCCTTAAACTCGATCACATCGGCTGTTGTACAATATTCCATTCGACGCAAAACACGTTTACGGTGTTTCAACTCGTCCATTTGTAGCAAACTGCGCGCCTCTTTTAATTTAGTTTTTACCGATTTCAATTCATCTTGGACTTTTAGTTTTTTCGTATAATGTTCGTAAATCCTGTCCAGTTCAGCAGAGTTATGCAAGGGATGTGCGAAAAGTCTTTCTTCGAACTTATCAATAGAACCGACAATCTCTTTGAATTCTGGATTTTTTATATTCATTTCTGTTATAGGATTAAGAAGCGGTGGGCCTTTAGGAAATCGTTTTTTAACCTCAGCAATTGTTTTAAGAACACTTCTGCGATTGTCTGCCGGACGCAAGTCGTTTGGATAATATACACGCAAAGAAGAAATCTGTGATATAAGAGTGTGAAGAACAGGAACCACTTCCATGTTGCCTTTTTGGTCTGGCTTGCACGGTTTAGGTTCATCGGCTTTGGCAGATTCCTCAGTAACATGTAGTAAAACATCTACTACTATGACTGTCTCAACTTTCGTGGGATTTTTTGCATTATTTGTTTGTTTTTTGAAATTTACTACTATACCCCAATCAAACTCCTCTCTGTCGTTTTGTACTTTTATGAGACGTCCTGGTTGCAAAAATGGTACTAGATATTCAGGTTTCGTAATCCAATTTTTGAACTGCTTGCCAAGGGAATCGAGTTGTTTGCGTATATGATGATACGATGCAACACTATGCTCTTCGGTTATTTTAATCTTTTCCAACTCAAGTTGCTTGTCTTGAACTTGTTTGTAAAGTTCAGGTATTGAAGATTGGTTTTGAAACTGAAAAAATGAACGTTCTAACATGTATTCAGGATTAATTTCTTCTACGCGCAGCAGATTCAACACCATATTATAGGTTAAATGAAATGCTGAATTTATTGGATCTGCTTTTCCTTGCACGATTCCGCGGCCAATTGCTGGCGATACTTTTTCGTCAATCATTAAAATAACGATACCTTTATCATCCAAGCCACGTCTGCCAGCTCGGCCGGCCATCTGTATGTATTCGCCTGAGGAAATCCACCTTAAATTTTTTTAAATATTAATTCCATTTGTTGGGCAACAAAAAAAAATACTTCGATATACCTAAAACTTTTGCCGTCAAATTTGCGTGGTGCTGTAAAAAGTACAGTGCGAGCTGGCATATTTAAGCCCATTGCGAAAGTTTCTGTGGCGAAAAGTGCCTTAAGTAAACCTTCTCCAAACAAAATTTCAATAATTTCTTTGAGAATTGGTAAAAGACCTCCATGATGTATACCAATGCCACGTTTTAACAACGGTAATACATTTTCTACTTGTGGTAACTGACGATCTTCTTCAGAGAGCACATCCATGGCATTATTAAATACTTCATCTACCAGTTTTTTCTCTTCAGCAGTATTAAAATCCAGCTTAGCCATTTGCATAGCATATATTTCACAATCTTTTTTACTGAATGAAAAAATTATTACTGGTGCAAAATTTCGTTCCATTATCATTTTGACAATTTTGAAAATATTTGACTGGCCACTGTCAACCCCTCTAATGCCGGTTTTACGCCCTCTCTGATCGCCTTTTGCAGCTTCGCCTAATTTGAAAAAAAGTTTTATTTTAAGTGAATCACGACATAAGTGCAAATTTTCTACCCACCAGTGTTCTGCAAAACTGCCATTGCCGTTGTAAAATTTTCTTCCTTAAATTGCCCTTTTTCGTCAACTATAAGATGGATGCCATCGCCTCCAGCAGGAAATATATAATGTTGTAGCGGGGTTGGTCGATAATCTGTATAAACCACGTGGCATGGTTGCTTGTGGAGATGGCAAACCCATTCCGCAAATTGGCGGGCATTGGGAATGGTAGCGGAAAGAAACACATAACGCACATTATCCGGTAGCAATATAAGTGTCTCCTCCCATACGACACCACGTTCCTTATCCCGCATATAGTGAATTTCGTCGAATACGACCCAACCGACTTCACGCATAATTTCACTTCCTCTATACAACATATTTCGCAAAATTTCAGTGGTCATGATAAGACAAGAAGCTGACGGATTTATTGTCACATCACCGGTAACTAAGCCAACATCTTTGAATTCTTCATTAAATTCACGATACTTTTGATTGGAGAGCGCTTTAATTGGTGTGGTATAAATCACACGCTGTTTGCAACCCAGGGATTTCGCAATAGCATACTCGGCAACTACCGTTTTGCCTGCCGAGGTGTGAGCTGACACCAGAACGCTCTGTTGATTATCAATGCAAAGGATTGCTTCTTTTTGAAAGGGATCCAATACAAATGGATACTCTTTTGCTGGTGTTCCCATGAAGGTTTGTATAGGAATATATTCCTGCCCTGGATACACCGCCACCTCGTGCGTGCATGACTCCGGACTTTCGATAACGTGGACTGCGATACGAGAACGCAATGCGTCTATGCATATATCATCCAATATCGACTCTGTTTCTTTTAAACGTTTTTGTGGAGCTTCGCAACCATCTGTTGATTCTTTAACGGCCGTACTTCCACGCTTTTCACGGCCTTGAATTTTTCTAAAAAAAAACTAGTGAGCAAAGTAGTTCTAATGTATAGATTTATGTATGTAGGTACTTTTCTTCCGAAGGATCTTTTTTAACTTTATCCCATTCTACAACTGGATTGGAATTTAAGCTTTCATCATTATCCTCATTAAAACAATCAAATAAATCGTCAACATAGGCCATGATTTTTAGTGATAATTATCCAAAAAAAAAAACAAATTAAAATCGTCTAAATAATAAGCGCAGTTAGGAATGAAATGATACGAGTAAATACAAGTACATACTCGATACTTTTCGTCCATAACCAAGTAATCTCAGTATATCCAGTAAAAAAACTGTGTGAAGTCCTTTATGGGGATAAAGTTTCCAGAGATGAAATTTTATGTAGCACACAATTTCTTACACGCATGGTTGCTTTTCAGCACTTATGAAAGAAACTTAAGAAATATTTGAAAAAAAGTTCATATAGTACATTAATTTTTGAAAGAAATACCATATAATGTATGTACTCTGGTTAATAATATCAAAAAATATATTAGAACCACCGTTTAATGTTATATTTGATACAAATTAATATTGCTGCCCCGAACGCTCTGCGCCTTGCCACTGAATAGTACGTTTACTTGAAATTACATCCCTGGTCCTTGTTCTTTCTGTATAGCATCGTGGTAAATTCACATTTCTCAGAAATTTGACAACAAAACAAAACAAAGCGAGTATTTTATTTGCTAATTTTTGCGATTTCTATTGTTTAATGTAAATTTATGTCTTTTTAGGATATGTCGAGCCAACAAAGAAGGCGCAGTTGGAAAATTGAGTAATTAGTAATGAAGTAGCAGGCATATTTGGAAAATTATGCCGATAAGCAGGATGGAATTTGGGAAAGTAAGTGCATGGTTGCAGCATATCTATGTATAAAAAGTATTTAATTAAGAAATTGTTGTTTTGTATTTAAGGCGACAATATAATTTGGCACATCTTCAAAAGACGCTCAAGCAAAAAAAAAAAAAAAGAAAATTAAAAAATTCCTGAAGTTGCCTTTTCACGGGTCGATTTCTGTCGACTGGAAAATTTACTTAAGATATCGACTAGCCAAAACGCTTACATAAAGGCAGCTTAAATAACGTTCAAATTAACCCTCCCCTTTGAGATGGGAAATACCAATAACCATTTCATAATTTCGAATTATTCCATTTATATTTGTTCTTGCATTTTCCACACCACTTGTGAGGTATGCTTTTACGCGCGTTACCAATTTTTTTTTTATGTGCTCGGTTGCCCAGGAGGCCTATTTTCACCTTTACAACTTAACTTAAACAGAATTAAAACTAAAGCATGCAATATATAAAGAAAATTAAAAGTTGTCTTACATCTAGTAAACTTAAAAAATTGCACATTAAATTCATTTTGCATTATAAAATAAAATTAAATATCACAATTCCGTTGAAGTGTATACATATGTACATATTTACAAAATGTGGTCTGTTTGCACCCACAGTAAGTTCCCATGAAGCCTAGCCTAAATTCAGAACTGAAAAAAAAACGAGCAAATGGGGTCGGAAACTACTAGCTCTAAAAGCATAATGTGGAAAATGTTTGAAGAGCTGCGAAATTGTATTGCAATAATAAAAATAACAGTGCATAAATTGGAAAAGTGGCTTTTGTTTTGCTTTATAATTTTTGGGAATATTGGTTCAGATGGAATTTTTTTATTTGTTTGGTTTTTCAGCTCGTTACTGATGCACCCAGAGTTGCATTTACTGTCTATGAAAATATTTCATGAAGCGTTCCAAAATTAGCTCCGAGCAACTAAAAGTTGGTTAAGCTTAAATGAAATAGTATTTTATTAAATATTTATTCCTGGTATTTAGTAAAAATCATTCATCTCAATACTAATATATGAAATGAAAGTAAATAAAAATCTACGAATACATTTCATGAATATTTTGTCATAGGGCCATTATTAAATACAGACATAACTTTGTCGGGCATTGGTGCTGACGTATATAGAATTAATAAGTTAGAGAGAGATAAATATACAAGCTCAAGCGCTAATTTATGTATACTTGTATACCTGTTACTCGTATGGCATATACTCCAATTGCGAAAATAATGACAATTATAATCTATTTAGATGCATATTTTAGGTAAATATTATATCGTCGCCTGGATAAAAGATTGTCACAAGTTACTTTCGGTAACTAACAATTGAAGTTTGGAATGAAATTTCTCAGGAACTAGACCACAGATTTTCTCCAAAGTGTCGGAGAATGCTATGTACAAGTTCATGAAATTCTTAAATTGTTATATTTTTTTAGTTTAGTGTCAACCATTTATGAGTTTATTAAATTTTTGTCGAATACGATATTTGTCAAAAAATTTGCAGTCAGTTTCAATGATATACGCCAAAAAGTGATAACAATTTTTATAAATTAACGATACTTTTTACTAATCAGCCTAATCGTGAGTTTCGCCCGAACCAAATTTCGCCAACAGTTTTTTCATCCACCTGTAGTGAATACACGCAAACGAAAAGTAAAAATTGACCCGGTTCTAGAAAATGAAACTCATGATAAAGCTGAATATGTTGGAAACTAAAGAAGAACAGATAACTCTATTTGAAAGATTTTGATTAGTTTAGTACGATAGCAATACTAACGCAATTTGTACCAAATAACCGAAAACATTTTAGTCAATTACTCGGAAACTAAAGAAGATATCCAAAAACCACAAATTGTCAAAATGACGCTTCCGGCAATTTTCCATCCAAGCGACGATATTTGAATGTTACTCGCATATTTTCGAGCCTGTCAATTTTCGGGAGAAAGGTTAAAAAGTATATTCATCTGCTGAAAAGATAATTTCGCAGATTCACAATTTATTTAAAATAAATCTATCAGCCCTATCTCCAATTCCATGTGAATAAATCTCTCCAGTGCTTAAATAATTTTCACCACAATAAATACCTGCACAACACCCTAATTGCCGAAAAAGCGTTGCTTGCAACACTAGTCCTTTATGGGGACCAAACTTGGTGAAAAAAAATAGTGTTACGATTATCCTCGAAACCTTGAGGGATTTCCCAAATATACTCGGGCTCGTATCGCTGGATTGTTAAATAAATGCTAACGATGACCAAATTGTTATACAATTAACTTTATTGTACAACAAACAATTTACAATACTTGCTAATACAGTAAAAACACTTTACAATACTTGTTAAAGCAATAACAACGCTTTACTACTTGTTAACACAATTAAACTTATAGCTTGCTTATTCGCAACTCAATTCTCCGCTCACTTTACTTGTAGCTTGCTGACTTGTAACTAACTCACCTCGCGGTGGCGGCGCTCTTATATACCTGCGCTGGCACTTATGGCAACTCTAGAACATTCTGAAGTTTATCGCTCATTCTCTTTCTCTCGCTGTTCGCAGTGTCCATCCAACTTGACGTTTCTCTTTGTGGAACATTCTACGTCATTCTTCGAAAATTCTGCCTATTTCTCGTTGTTCGCTTTGTGTTGCCGCAGTATTCGCCACACTGCCCTCCACCTAAGTCTGATCGTCCCGATCAGACACACTTGCGGTTCCAAACGCTGCAAGCCTTTCCAAGTGGACCACTTCATCTTGTTTCTTGGTCTCTCAACGGTCTGGATCCGATACACTACGTCATTTAGCCGTTTTACGACCTTATACGGACCTTTCCAGTTGCATTGTAGTTTTGGGGACAAACCTTTCTTTCGTTGTTTATTGTACAGCAACACCAAATCTCCTTCCTGGAAACCCTCGGAATTCATCGCCTTATCATACCTGGCTTTCATCTTGTCACTCATAATTTGTGTGCGCTATCTCACAAGAGCATGTATCTCTCTCAGCTCCTCTTCCAGGATGTTTGACGTCTCTTTTCCAATCCTTCTAGCATCACCAGTCACCCCAAACTTCAGATCACTAGGCAAACGGAGCTCACTGCCGAATATTACCCTTGCAGGAGTTTTACCCGTTGTTTCATGCACTTCTGACCGGTATCCCATCAGGAACAAGGGTATCCGGACATCCCAATCTTTTTGATTCTTGTCCACGACCTTCCGCAAATGCTCTTCCAGGGTTCGGTTGAACCGTTCCACCATGCCGTCTGATTGGGGATGAAGAGCCGTCGTTCGAGTTTTCCGGATACCCAGTATCTGGCACATCTCTTGGAACACTGCCGACTCAAAATTTCTTCCCTGGTCAGAGTGCAGCTCTATAGGTACACCGTATCTCGCAACCCAATTGTAGGTGAATACCTCCGCTACTGTTTTAGCTTCCTGGTTTGGAATCGGGTATACCTCCGGCCATTTGCTAAAGTAGTCCATAACCACAAGGACGTATTTATTTCCCTGTGCGCTCATAGGAAATGGACCGGCTACATCCACGGCAATCCGCTCGAAAGGTGCACCTGAGTTATATTGCTTCATCTGGCCATGACTTCTGGATTTCGGCCCCTTAGCTGCAATACACTCCGCGCAGTTAGCAATCCACTCTGCGACCGATTGCCGACAACCAACCCAATAGAACCTCTGCTTAACCTTCTCCAGGGTCTTCGTGATTCCCAGGTGCCCTCCACTAGGACCATTGTGGAATTCCTTGAGTACGTCCGGAATTCTTACCCTTGGAACTACTATCAGGTTGCGGGAGCACTGGCCATCTTCGCTTTCCCATACCCTATGCAAACAGCCAGATATTAATTTTAAGCTGTTCCATTGTGCCCAGTACGCCTTTGCGATGGGGCTTTCCGCTGCCATTTGCTCCTTAGTTGGCCTCCTGTCCACCTCCAGTCCATGCATCAAAAGCTCCAGATCTGGATCTTCCTGCTGACACTTTCGTAGCTGTTCTTCCTTCCACTCTTCCGCTGGTGTTATTGTCGTTAGACGGACGTCTATAATGTCCTCTTTTCCCTCAGCTTTTGAGCAGTGTTTACATTCCAGGCTACATGGTCGGCGGGACATGGCATCAGCATTACCGTGGACACTTCCCTTGTGGTGCTCAATAGGGAAGTCATAACTTTGCAGTCTCTCAATCCACCGAGCTAGCTGTCCTTCTGGATTCTTAAACTGTAGTAGCCACTTCAGCGCTGCATGGTCCGTTCGAACTCGGAAACGTTGCCCATAGAGGTACTTGTGGAAATGTTTGACGCAGTCCACCAACGCTAGTAGTTCTCTCCGAGTTACGCAGTAGTTCCTCTCTGGTTTTCCAATCGACCGGCTATAGTAGGCAACTACCTTCTCCTGCCCATCAATTACCTGCGACAGT